GACTTAAAAAATTTGGGGGCACATCAAATTTCTCCAAATGGACAGCATTCTAGTTTGCTGGAGAGTAGTCTTTTAAATTCTAACAGGAGAAAACTTCCTTTTTAAACTAAGCACTGGTAAACATTAAATCTTTAAATTAAAATAGTATCAATCAAGCCAGGATTGGTGGCAGTTCCTATAATCCTAGCCCTAACATCTTAAGTGGCCTGCACAGAATGAGGACTTAGATTTTTGCCCTGTTCGTTATAGGGCAGAGCCTCCCACAGAAAGGAATGGAGAAGCTGTTGGGCCCTCTTTTAGAAACTGATCTGAAAAAATTAAAAGGAACTTGCCAATTTAAGGGCTGAGGCAGGAGGATTATCGCAATTTCGAGGCTAGTTACATAGTAACTTCCCAGTGTTGTAGCCTATAGTGTGAGATGCTGCTTCAAAAAAAATCCAAACAAAAATAAATAAAATCACACACACACACACACACACACACACACACACACACACACACACACACACGGAGAAATTGCCATGGATTAGCCTCATGCTCTCTTAATTTCAATTCTGCTTTCCTCCATTATTTTCCCATTCTTCTGTTTTCTTTTTTCAGTGCAGGGTCTGAACCAATAGTATCACACGTGCTACCAAGCACTCTACTACCGACGGTCCACATTCCAAGTCACACACTTTTGACTCTGGAACAAAGCACACATCCACACGATAAGAGGTCTGGTCCTGCACCTTTCTTTCATAATCCTGGGAGGGCCAGCACAATGGGTGGGAAGAGTATTCTTGGAAGCTTGGGACAGCTGGCAATATCCTAACCACATATAAAAGAGACTCGAGGCTACAAAAATAAATCTTACTAAATGCAAACCAAATGTAACCCTAGTTCAATTTTAGCAAAACATTTTAGATGACTGCCAGCTACTCCAACACCTATAGTCAAGAGGAAGTATGGCAGAGGGGGAGTCACTGAGGATGAACGAGAACAGTAATAAGACCTTACTCTTTACAAAGTTTATCAAAGCATATGGTCACGGAGACATATTGCTAAGATCCCTTCTAGGGTCTTAGAAGGGGCACTGCTCCTGTAAATCCCTAAAAGTGAAGTTTTCACCAACTGTCTTCAGGATCTGGAGACATTCTTTGGTCCTTGACTCATAAAACATATTAAGGATGAAAGGAGCTTTTATATGGGTCATATCGGTCAGCATGTACTATAGTGGGAGTTAAAAGAACATGTAAAATACTTTTATTAATGCATTTTAAAACAATTATATTACAAGTTAAAAGAATAACTCGCCCCCTCCCCCCTGACAGGGTTTCTCTGTGTAGCTTTGGAGCCTGCCCTGGAATTTGCTCTGTAGACCAGATCTCTCGAACTCAGAGATCCACCTGGCTCTGCCTCCCGAGTGCTGGGATTAAAGGCGTGCGCCACCACCGCCCGGCGAAGAATAACATTTTTAATAAAAACATTTAAAAAGTAGTAGTGAGACGTGTGTGGTATTTTTGTTTATATTTCTGTCAGTTCTCTTGTTTGTGGCTTGGTTGGGATATGCTCTACCCTTAACGGTTACAGGGGTGCAGTCGTCTCTGGAAATTCAGCTGTGTTGTCATTATAGTGAAAGAGGGAGAATCTTCCTACAAAAATAATCTTGGCTTTATTGACCCTGACTAGGTTTGCAGAACCACACATTTACAAGTCAATTCTTTTGGGTGCCTGAAGCTCTTTATCTAGTTAATCAACCCCACCTCCCAGATAAGTGCCAATCGGTTCCATACTTTAGCAAACAAGGAAAACTTTACAGACAGCTTTTAATGAATAACAAGTCTTAGGGAAGTTATCC